TCCTTACCACAAGGCCACCACAGAAAGAGAGAGACAGAAAGAAATCTGAGCCCTGGCTAGGAGAAAAGGGGTCTTTTTATGGAGTCCAACAGGCTGTTACAACTTACCTCCCCTCCCTCCTTGGCCTCCCCGCTGGTCCCTGCCAGGAAGTGCTACTGCTGCTCTAACCACAGTCTCTGATGCTGGGGCTCCTGTGCGCTTTCCCTGATGCTGTGTCTGGTGGGAGATTCAGGGCCCAGCAGGGGCTGGGCTGTTTATGACGGTCATAAACTTCCTTAGCGAGCTCAGCAGGCGTGGGCCCACAGCCATCAATTCTTTCCACAGCCCCTCTCTCTCCCTCTCTGGATTTCTATTCCCTCCTGTTAGAGTCTCTGAAACTCTCCCTCTCTCTCTCTGGGTCCCCCCCTCTCTCTGGGTCTCTGTCCCCCTCTTCTCTGGGTCTCTGTCCCACTCTCTTTCTGGGTCTCTATCCTGCTCTCTCTCTGGGTCTCTGTCCTCCCTTCCTCTCTCTCTGGGACTTTATCCCCCTTCTCTCTGGGTCTCTGTCCCCCTCTCTCTCTGGGTCTCTGTCTCCCTCTCTCTCTGGGTCTCTGTCCCACTCTCTGGGTCTCTATCCTGCTCTCTCTTCTGGGTCTCTGTCCTCCCTTCCTCTCTCTCTGGGTCTTTATCCCTCTTCTCTCTGGGTCTCTGTCCCTTCTCCTCTCTCTATGGGTCTCTGTCCCCTTTTTCTCTGGGTCTCTGCCACCCTCTCTCTCTCTGGGTCTCTGTCCCTCTCTCTGGGTCTCTGTCCCTCTCTCTGGGTCTCTGTCCCTCTCTCTAGGTCCCTGTTCCCCCCTCCCAGTCTCTGTCCCTCTCTCTCTGGGTCCCTGTATTATTTCTCTTTGACACTCTTCCTCCAAGACAATGGCTTGTAACTTTCCAGGAGGCAGGTGGCTCCTCTGTGAACAAGATAAAAATAATAGGCCATTTCCCTGAAAAGCCCAATGTCTGCAAGATGCAAGGGCGCTTTTAGGCCACAAGTCTCCTGACATCCTTTCCAGGGGTTAAAGGCCCCTCGTATAGAAAAAGCTAGTGAGAGGATGGATTCCAGATGCTTCTCTCCTCTGCTTATACCCTGACCTTCTCTGAGTTGGAACCCATCCCACACATCTCAGCCATGCCTGATCCCATTGATACAGTCACCATGTCAATCCATTTCATTGAGAGTTTCCTCTTTTCTGACCCTAGACACTAAAATTCAAAGGCATATATTCTTTCTTTGCCAACAATAAAATTCAAAGGCATATTTCCTTCCTTCCTTCCTTCCTTCCTTCCTTCCTTCCTTCCTTCCTTCCTTCCTTCCTTCCTTCCTTCCTTCCTTCCTTTTCTTTCTTTCTCTTGTGTACCATCGAATTGGATTCTGACTGGCACAGGAGGAGATTTCCCCTCCTTCAAGTGGAGCTTCTGGTGGATTTGAACCACACTCCTTTCAGATTGCAGCACAACTTCTTGCCACTTGACCACCAGAGCTCCCCTGGCATCTATTCTTTAGTCTTCTTTATTTGTTGTCCAATTTTCATATGCATATGAAGTAACTGAATATACCGTGGCTTAGGTCAGGCACACCTTAGTCTTTAGACAGGCATCCTTTCTCTTTTGCATGTTGAAAAGGCCCTTGACAATACATTTTCCCACCACAACATATCTTCTGATTTATTGGCTGCTCTTACCATGGGTGTTAGGTGTGGTAAAATGGAATCTTTTACTTCTATCTTTTCTCCATCAATCATCATGCTGTCTATTGGTTCAGTTGTAGGGATTTTTGTTTTCTTGATGTTGAGATGTAAAGCCTATGGAAGCCTGTAATCTTTGATCTTCTTCAGTAAATGCTTCAAGTATTCTCTACTTTCTGCAAGAAGCACAGGTTGTTGATGAGTCTTTCTCCCATCCGGATGCCACATTGTTTTCCACAGAGTCCAGCTTCTCAAATGATTTGTTCAGCACACAGACTGAATAGTATTGGAGAAGAGCTGATGCACACCTTTCCTGATGTTAAAACATGTGATATCCTCTTGTTCTGCCCAAACAACTGCTTCTTGGTCTATGTACAGATTTCCCAGCACCACAGTTAAGTGTTGTGGAATTGTATGTAGATGCGTTCAATTCCCCCATTGACTGCCAGAGAGTCAGAACTGAACCACAGCGGAGCCATCATTGAGTTTCCAAGTAAAAATCTCCTTTAAACCTGTGATTAAAAAATATATTTTATTTTTATTCTTTTTGTGTGTGTGTGTGTACTGTCAAATCAGATCTGACTGGTACAGGAGAAGATTGTCCCTCCTTCTCCAGCAGAGCATCTGGTGGATTCAAACTGCTCACCTCTGGAGTTACAGTGCAGCTTTTTGCCACTAGGCCACCAGAGCTCACCCAAATCTGTGAATTTACTCCTGTAAATCTCACAGGAGGACATTGCCTGTTTTTCTCTCATGAAGTCATTGGTGGATTTGAACCATGAAAACCTTCTCCTGTCACCAGATCAGGCCTGGGATGGAATGAAGGAAAGTCGGATTCCACCTCTAATCTTCCCGCAAGCATTTGGTGGATAAGAGCACGGAGGAGCGTGGTCTGGTTTCTCCTCTGAGTCATTTCATACCTGGATGTTGCGAGGACACAGTTTAAACCCATCACAAGCTCCATGGGAGAGAGATTGGGTGTTGAGTACCTTGAAACTGTACAGCTTTGGAAACCCTATGGGGGCAATTGTTCTCTGTCACAGCGAGCTGGAATCATCTCAATGGCCCTGGTGAAGAAGGAGCCCTGGGGATGTAATGTTTAAGCGTTCAGCTGCTCACTAAAAGGTTGGCAGTTCAAACCCATTGGTTGCACTGAAGGAGGCCAAGTTGGCAGTCGGTGCCTGTGAAGATTTACAGCCTCAAAAGCCCCAGGGGCCAGTGCCCCCTTGTCCTGTACAGTTGCTATGAGTCAGAATGGAGATACGCTTGGAGTTTTGGTTTCAGTGGTTTACATTTTCTCATGCTCCCCTCCCATCCCCCACAGACAGTCAGGAGCCCAAGGAAGCGGGCTGTCTCCCATGCACGTCTGTGCTTTCCCCTCGACGCTCAGTTCATTTTTATTGCACACAAATGCTCCCCTCTTGATGGAAGGTGAACACCAGTGGCAAAGCTTGCTGGCGTCCCAAACCCCTCCCAAAACTGAATAAAACCTGGAGACCTTCTTCTCCACAACATATGTGGATGTCAAAGCCCAAAACCAAGCGCGCTGCCTTCCAGGCGAACTGCCCCAGGGGCTCCAGGCTGTAATCTTCACGGAAGCAGGCAGGCCCCAACTCTCCCCTGCCCAGCGGCCACTGGCATTAACCGCCATGCAGACTGGTCTCCTGAGGTAGGCACATAATGTTACTTTCAGCTGAGGGGCCTCTCGCAGACATTTGAAAGCAGCTCTGGGGACTTAAGGCAAGAGTTTTCTCTTACATTAAAAAGCAGAGGTGAAGGATGAGCAGAGGGTAGAATCTCAATCTCTCTCTCTCTCTCTCACACACACACACACACACACACACAGAGAGAGAGTTAGTATCGCCACATCTTAGGCAGACACATACATGCTCAGTACATTCGGAGACAGAACCGACACACTATCCCTCGCTCCCCTCCCCAAGCACGCACACACGTGCACCCTGAACTAGACACGCAGCGAGGGACACGCATACTGTCGCTTGATGCCTGAAGACACAGAGGGGCGAGAAAGGAGGGGCCGAGCGAGGAGAGAGAGAGAAGAGAAGAGAGAGAGAGAGGAGAGAGAGAGAGTGAGAGAGAGGAGGGGGGAGAGAGAGAGAAAGAAGAGAGAGGAGAGAGAGAGGGAGAGAGAGGAGATAGAGAGGGAGAGAGAGGAGATAGAGAGGGGGAGGAGAGAAAGAGAGGGGGAGGAGAGGGGGGAGAG